ATTCATGGAGCTGGAGACACGGTCACTGCGGGGTATCATGTGCACTCAGAGTTGAAGGCTGGCCCTGTGGGCCTCGGAGCTCGCCCATGCAACAGTAAGCTAATACCACCGACGGCATCAGGTTACTTTGAGAATAACATGACATAATGGGACCCCAGAGCCTGTGTCCCAGGGCCAGGGACACAGGCTCTGGGGTCAGGCAGGACTGGGTCTGAACTCTAGTTCTATCATCCGCAAGCTGGGCGACCTTCAACAGGCCCTACCACCTCATCCAAAACGCAGACGTGGCAGCCACTGGGCAAGGTCGCTTCTGAAATTAAGTGCAGTAATGTGCACCTGGCACACATCCCACAGCACCCCCTCCTCCCCGTGATGCTGGCGACAAGAGGGCAAATCTTTCAAGGAAGGAACCATAATTCATCCAGAGAGACTCTCCAGGTCTTCACACATTTGAAGGACCCAGTAAATATTGCTGCTCTCTCTCTACTTCAGTCACCTGAGGAGAAAAGGCACGTCGCGCCCTATCCTCACACCTGAGACCTCCGCTCCTACCTGGACAAACATGCTGCGACTTGCGTGCTTCTACACAAAAAGCAACGAGCTGGTCAGAAATCACTGTCAGGAAACCACGGCAAATTAACACAACATGGAAGCACTCTGAAAGCACCAGGCGGCGCCCGAGGGAAAGCTGCCCACCGTTCCCAGCGAGGCATTCTGTGCCCACGTCAGGGGGACGCAGCGTCGTCGGGTCCCTCCTCCGCCACGGCGGGAATGTCGGGCTGACGGCAGGAGCCCCGGTCCCGCCACCGTGAAAGTGATCTTGGACAAGTTTTAAAGATTTAATGTGCATTTATGCAGCGAATATTTAATGAGTGTCTTCAGATCCCTGTTCTCATGGAATTTATATTCTAATGGAAGAAGACAGACACCATATAATAAACAGACAGACACAAGGATAGGTAGGAAGAAGTTAGCAGGCAGTGGTGATTAGAAGAGAATTAAAGGTCATAAAATAGACGGTGACTGGGTCACTGATTTAGGATGCAGTCACTTTAGAAAAGGTGACATTTAAGCTAAAGTCTGAGGAAGTAACTACTCCTCTCTGGACATCCATCTCCTTTTCTACAGAATGTGACTATGGAACTGGGGTGCTTCTCAAAGTCTCCTCTAGTTCTAGGGGCCTGATTTCATGGCTGTTACAAATATATCACGGGTGTGTGTACACATGTATTTTTAACATCAAACATTATCTTTTATGTGATTAAGCAAATAATTTATGGCAGTGGGTCTGCTCTGAAGACCTTTAACGTAACAATAAATTATTTGTAAGAAACTAAATACAACTTTGCATACTGAACTTTTCTACTGTTCTTTGAGCTCTGACAAAGCAGCACATTTTTTTTTCTTTCTTTTTTGCAAATGAAGCCAAGCTGGCCTCTGACCAGAAGGGTAAATACGCTTCTGCATGTTTCAAAGTAGGCAAAATACTCAAATTTGTAATGAAGTTGGAAGTTGTCTTACACAAAATCTTTCTGGTGGTCACTTAAAACTATGAATTCAGACACTGAAATTTTAAAAGGCAAACTCCAAGCCACAGGGGTTTTTTTGTTTTTTGTTTTTTTGTTTTTTTTTTAACATAAAAACACAGGAAAACATATTGAGGTGATGGGGTATAGAATTTTTTAAGAAAACATCAGTATTTTGACCCACATTTTTCATGCACCAGTTAACTAGAAAATTACAAAACCTGAAAAACTCCGATAAATGGTACCGAGGGGATTAACACAATACACCCACCCCTGCTTCCTCTCTCAGCCCTCCTCTGCCTCTCCTCCCCGTCTGCCCAGCTGGGGCACATTTCTGGAACAGAAATGAAGGCCTCTCAAGCTGTTGAAAAATGAGGGCCACTGAATTTTTAATTCTGTTAATCATTAGAAAACTAGAAATTGCTGTCTCTCTGAGAACCTGTGAGGTAGCAGCCTCCACAGCCTCGGCCTTCAGTTCTGCCAGAGCTGGCTGGTTTCCCAGCAACACACTGATTTGTGGGGCCACTACTGTGGGCACCTCGAGAATAATTAAATATTAAGTCCCTCTTTGATGTATGCAAAGTCTGCCTAAGAGGATTACTAGCCACAGCAAAGGGAGCAGTTCCTTATTTTCTGGTAATTGAACATTGCAATATCATTATCTCTTCTTATCTTTCCTCTAAGAATCCATCTCCATAGTTAATACTACCTTTGAGAATGGAGAAGGAAATAGGAAGAAAGGAGAAAAATGAGAACCTGGGCAATCAGGATTTTGAGTCTTTTAGGTGTTTGGACTGTGAGTATGACAATCGACACTTTAATGTGTGTGGAGGAAGTGACAGACGAGGTGAGCAAACCATGCTGTAGCTCCTCTAGTTCAAGGCTCCACTTCATACATCCGGTAGCCCAGGCCCACAGTTAAGAGTCTTCCCCAAGATTAGAGAACAACGGTGGTGGGAATGTGGAGACGCGTGTGCATAATTCATTGGCTAGTGCCCTAACTTTCCTCTGCTCTGTGAAAGGCCACACAGTTTAAAAAAAATAATGGAGACAAACTCCATTTCCAACCACAGGCACAGTTCTGTGACATCCCAGAAGCTGCTGCTGTTCCCATTCGGAAGCCACATTTTCCTGCATTCATTCTCCACGGAGCGGGCAGTTATTCACTATTATAAGACAGAGTCCCCCAACCAAATTTGCTTGCCCTTCAAAACGGAGTTGAATCAGCCCCGGCAGACTGAAACAGAACTCTTAATTGTAAAAGAGGAAGAGGAGGAGACACTCACCAATTTATTTTTGGGGAAGACTATAGATGAATAGCATAATTAAGGCTGTGGTGATTTTATTTCCAATACCAAATCCTTTAAGAAACTCAGATCATTAGCTGCCAAAAGCAGAAAGGGAACTGTCCTCACAGAGGGAAAGGAAGAGTGAGGGGACGTGAGAGGACTTCACCGGAGCGGAAACGTCAGGGAGAGGTGTTTTCCAGGGGCCTGAAAAGGCACGCCCACCCCCGAGAAAACAGCGATGGAATGAGAAGCCACGCGTGGGCTTTGCGAGTGAGAGGCGGCAGTGTGCACTCAGTGCCGAGAGTCAAGTCCGTTCTGAGGGACCCTACGCCGAGCTGCCTCGCATGCTGGGTGCGGAGAAAGGGAAGCTACGAAGAAATTAAAATCTCAGAAATCACTGAAATCATACAAAAGTGGCAACTTGTTCTTAGCGTAACTGGAAATTGAAAAACACTTAAAGGAAGAAATGCGATTTCTGAAGCGTTTGGGCCCAAATGTCACAGCGTGCATTCTAGTGCTTCGGCATGACAGAGAAGACGGATGTGTTCCCCTTTCCCGTTTCCGTGTCCTTCCATAATATTTTCACTGTGTAGATCTGACATAACACGCAGTGAGGCTCCGAACCAGAGAAACGGGCCGCGCCATCCTGCCAGGCTCCGGCCATCAAGGAGATGAAACCGAGAAGATTGAGGAGCTGAGAAATGGAGGCGCTGTCAGGAAAGCGCACAACCGCGGGAACACGCGTCTGCGTCAGGACGAGTCAGATCTGAAGTGCCTCGTGACAAGAGCTGCGTGACAGGACGGAGAGCTTCCCTCAGGGATGCTCCACAAACCTCCCCATCTGCTGAGAACGAGCGTGCCTCCCACAGCTGCTTGTCGTGGGCCTGGACTGCACTGCACGGACTACTGCCTTGCTGTTCACAGCCGGCTCCTCACGAAGGCGGTCAGGGGTCTGCTGATGCAACTCAAGGCAAAATGATGAAATGCTGGTAAGGTCATAGGGCTTCTTAGAGGGTATTATTCAGCTATTAGTGATTTTTAATACAATTGATTTCAGCGATCTGGCAACATTACAGAATCTTTGATAAGTTCATCTTTTTTGAAGAATAGCTAATAGTACTTACCTATTTATCTCACAGAGGGAGCTAAGAATATATAAGATAATTACTATGAAGATGCTCTGGGATGGGTCTCAAGTATGTTTCCATTCATTTTTTAAAATTAATTGTTCTTTAAGTGTAACAATAAGGATATCAATATAAACTACAAAGCAAAACCTTAAAATCAGAAGGTAACTCAAGTTGGAGTCAACTTCGGGGAAGCTCTCTTGCAGACGAGCTGATCCGGGAAGACTTATCTCCTAACTGCTACTGGCATGCGGTCTACGCTGCCTGCTCACGCTCGCGACGAGGCTGCTGGCTCTTGGATCCTCTGTCTTCAGGATCCAACAATTTAGACGTTAAGCCAAACTCCAAGCACTGTCACATCCTTTGACTGTGAAATTGGCATCCCATTTACTCAGCCACCCAGTCTTCAGGCTCTGAGCTCCAGCACCACACGTTCAGAGGGAGTCAAAGACGAGGACAAGCACATCCCCCGGGGCCTCAGCTTTCATGATAGTAAGGAAATAAAACTTTTAGTAATTATAACAATAATAACAAATATTTTAAGCTCAAATGTGTGGAATTCAAAGTTCAATTATGTTTGAAACGGTGAGGGAAGTTTTGAGGGAAAAGATGGCCAGAGTGACCCTGAAGGATGGACCTGTAGAGAAATGTGAGGTTTGCTACATTGTTTCCATCGAAGAACAGGAGCCAAGGGAGGGTGCTGAGTGCCTGGGCGGAGCTGGAAAGAAATGAATGAGCTCAACGGCCGCTGCATTCAGGGTGAGCCACAGTTAACAGGCTGCGCAGGAAATCCTACCTCTTACGAAGAGAAAACGATACACACATGTGATGCAAGAAGTCCTCTACTTGGCACACACATCTTCCAACATATGGGAAAATAAAAACAAACCCTGTTGTTGCACATGTTTAACTACTAAATAGCTGGATGGATGAACACATTGGATGTCTGCTTTACCACGCTGATTGTTTACCTGAAAGCAGTTTAAGGTAATCAAGAAATGACCTCTCATTATTGTCAACAGAGACAATACTCACTAACCAGCCAGGTGCTCCCTTACCTGCCTCTGGGGCCACATGGCTTTGAGAATGGCTTCTGTCCTGAAGAACATGAGGAGCTTGCCGTCCTCCTCAGTCAGGTGAAACGACTGTCCCAACATCTGCAGCACGTGGATGCGGGGCCGCACTGGCTGCGCGTCGTCAGCACAGAAGGGGCGCAGCCAGGCCAGCAGGTCCTCGGGGGAGACCAGCTCTTCTCTGCAGGGCAAAATCAACGGTCAGACAGAACGCCACGTCTTCCTTCTTCTCCCAGTAATCACGTGTGGCGACTCACTTAAACTCTTAATTGTGGGGTGACTTCATTTTTCCCCTTAACAGCCAAAGTTTAGGTCTTACATGTCTTATAGCAAACCATATTAGTTATTTAAAAACTATGTAAGCTGACTGTAATTTTTAAACATTATCATATTAAATTTAGTTAAAGACGATAAAAATAATCATTACACACTATGTTCTTAGCTACTCTATTTCTTGTGCAAAGTTTAATAAACAGTGTGCCTAATTAATAATAGTGTCAGTCATCATTGCAGTAATTTTATATAAACTATTACTATTTACAGTAACTGCAAAGTAGATATTATAAATTCCATTTTATTTTTATTTTTTCCACTTTTGCTGAGATATAATTGACATATAACAGTGTATTAGTTTAAGGTGCACAACATAATGATTTGATATATGAATATATACTGCAAAATGATTACCACAATAAATATGGCTAACATTCATCACCTGATATAGTTATAATATACATAGTACAGTATGGTTAACGACAGTCACTACACTGTATATGTAAATTCCATTTTATAGCTAAGGAATGAGGCTCCACGGAAATGGTATCATATGCCCACAAACATCCATAATAGTTCAAATCTCAAAGCCGGTGTTCTTCCTACCAGTTTTCTCTGTGATAGAATTTCAATATGGGGCTAGAGTATCAAATTTCATACCATCCTAAAGATAAAATATGAACACTTGGGTTTTAAAGAACCATGTAGTCTAAAAGGATTCAGAGAAGAGGATATTTTGTACAAATTCCTGTCCAGTAGTAGAACCCTTTCCCTTGTAATCCCACGTGGACCATCTCAGGAAAACAACGTATTGATGATGATGTCAATGAATTACTACTGATGACTTTTAAGAGGCTCCTCATCAGAAGCTTCACACCCACAAGGCCCTGGAGACTCATGACAAAGCACTGAATTACACAGGTTTTGTTGCAACCAGAGGCTTAGGAGGCTTCCAGCAATAAATCACCTCGACCAAGTCCAATATTCCATGCCCTAAGAAAACTACAAGAAATTTTTAAAAGTGAGAAGAATAAAATTCTACAACAATAGTAAGTCAGTGATTTTTAACCTTTTTCATCTCAGGGCGCATATAAACTAATTACTAAAATAATTACTAAATGGATTACTAAATTACTAAAATAAATTACTAAATTTAGTAAAATAATTACAAAATGGATTACTAAAGTACTAAAATAAATTACTAAATTTAGTAAAATAATTACTAAAATAGTATATAAACTAATTACTAAAATTTTAAGGGACACCGGAAAACATTTTTTGCCGATCTGACAAAAAAAATAGGTATAACTTTGATTCACTCACACCAGCCAGCTATTGTTGTGTAGGCTGTTGTTATTTTTTTATATGATAATATAAGGGAAAAGAGGTCAGCGCCCCTGACTAAATAGTCAGGTAATGCATGTTTTTAAAATTCTCTGCTGTTGTACATAGGTTGAAAATTGCTGCCTTAAGTGTATATAATTATGAATATAATTGTGTGGCAATTTAAATTAAAAAACAGAAGTTATTATTTGTATTTAAGAATAAAAGAAATTATAAAGTGCTGTAGATAACTGGCATAAGCATTTCCTAAATTTACAAAGCCAATTTTTAGTTTTACCTGAGTGTCCTTCTTGATGTGTATTAGAAATGGAAAAATTGGGATGCAAAAAAAGTAGAGTGCCACAAGTATTTCCTGGATAGCCACTATGTGCAAAGCAAACCGACAGAATGGTGCTGTGGTTAAGAGCATTTTTTTTTTTTAATCTGATGAAGCTGCGAATCCTGGCCCCACTCTTTCCTAACAACTCTAGACAAAATTCATGAACTACATCACTTTCATTTTACAGTTAAATAGACAAAGGTCCTGACATTGTGTTTCTTGGAGGAGTCAGTGAAATCAAGCACATGCATGTGAAGCCCTAGCACAGCACGTGGCACAGAGGAAGTACTTAAACAGTAATATCATCCACAGCTGCATCACGCTTTTTATGATTAGCATCATCAAACTTTGCATTTGATGACACAGATGATAAAGTATATGGTCTCTGCCTTCCAAGCACTATTAATACAATGAGGCAGAAAGACTTTAAAAGTGACTCTTCTCCAAATTACTGATACAAATTTGAACAATGTGCAACATGCTAGGCCTAGATTAAGAAGAAAGGGAGGGAGGGCGAGGTGGGAGGGCCCATGGGGTGAAGAAGGGAGAAAAGGCAAGCAAGTCAGTGTGAGTGAGCCAACGGTGAGAGATGCAGACACACGTACCCCATGCATGAACCGCCCGCCCAAGCGCACACGCTTCTCACTGCACGCTTCTCACTGCACGTGAGGCACGCGTCTCAGCTGCCATGAAACCACCGGGGCAGCTGGCAAGGAATGAGATATAACCACATGAGGTGGTTATGCACGATGTGTTGATGACATTACAGTAGTATGAAAAGTGAGATTCTTTTAAAAAAATTATGATCAGGTGGCTTTAAAAAAAATTCCTAGAAAAAGAGTAATTTTGGTGTATGCACACACTGCAATCTCAAATCTTAACTTTTGATTAGAGCTAGTGAGCACTCTGTGGCTGCTCTTCCCGAGTTTCACTGATCAATACAAGCACGCACATATCTCGCTGTAATGGGGCAGAAACAGTGACTGGGAAGGCACAGGCATGGCCTGAGATGGCCCCGCATTCTGCGTGGCAGAGAGTGGGCCCGCCGTCCTGGTGGGCGGCGAGGCCTTTCTGCGGGGCTCAGCATCATAGACCCCAACGCTTACGCACTGCGGGTCCTCAGAGAACGTCTGATGGCTTCTTTTGCCTCACAGAGCATGAAGAGTAGGAAGAAGGGGGATTTAATCTGCTCTGGTAGGCTTTTGTTTCTTTTTTCCTTTTCTCTTTTCTCTGCTTTAAAAATAATGGGAAATCCCAAAGTAATATGAAAAGTTCAGCAAAGTCTGAATGATCAGACCCTGTTAGATATACATGGAGCTTTAAGGTAGTGGAGGCCGGTGCTATGACTCAGTAGCAATTTACCTAGACAAACAGAAACCCCTAACATACCCAAGAGTTTTAAAGGAAATCTTTCTTCCTGGGTGAATGGTGCACAGTGGAATTCCTGGTTCATTATTTGTTTCCTGAATGGACTGGATTCTGCACAGTCTTTTGAGAATCACTAATATATTGGTTCACGCTTGTGGGTCATTCTAGTTAGGAAATGTTTTTAAAGGTAGACGAAGGCAGGTAAATTAAAAAAAAAAAAAAGCCAAGGCAGGGAGGGGCATGTGGAAGGAGAGAGAAAGCAGAGGACGTGATACTTTAAGACCTGCCCTCAAAGCACAGTCCCTGGACCAGCCAGCTAGTGATTGGGAGCCGGTTAGAAAGCAAATTAAGTTGGATAGAAAAAGTCAAGACCCATATGATTTCACTCATATGTGGTATATAAAACTGAAAGTTACAAATGAAAAAAACAAACAAACAAAAAAAGAAACCAAACACAGAAACTCATAGCCAGACAACAGTATGGGGGTCACCAGAGGGAAGGGGGATGGGAGGCAGCAAAGGGTAAAGGGGATCAAATACATGGTAATGGAAGATTTGACTTTGGGTGGTAGACACAGAATGCAATATAGTGATAAGATGTTACAGAACCGTACACTTGAAACCTACATGATTTTATTAACCAATGTCACCCCAATAAATTTAATTTTTTAACAAAGAATTGAGACCCACTCAAGGAGAATCTTTAGGAAATTCCTATGTACAATGTCTTTGCGCAATTGAGAAGGAGGACACCCTACTGTCCTTTGCTAGGGTTCCGTAATGTCACCAGAAGGTGGCCTATGGCGAGAGAAATTCATAGACCTGGGTGACCACAGACAAGCTACACAACCTGTCTGAGCTTCATTTCCTAACCTGTAAAATGGATATAATAGTATGTGTATAACGGTTGTTCTGAGGATTGAGTGAATCGCTGAAGAGCCCTTTCAAAGGTCTTGGCACAGAGTAATAAATGCTCCTTAGCTTTTTTATTTTAAAATGTGTGCTAGTTATTTTCTTAATTCTGGGTTTAATGGATATATTATTTTAAAACATTTTTTAATGATTGACTTTTTAAAAATTCTTGCTTCTTAAGCAAACTAGTGAACTAATTAATTCCTAACACAACCTAGAGTATAGATCAGACAGTTGGCCCTCCGTATCCATGGGTTCTGCATCCACAGACTTCACCAATTGCAGATCAAAAAATACCTGAAGAAAAGTTACATTCTTGCTGATGTGTGCTGCATAGTTAGGCCTAGGACAGCTGGTCTCTACTGAACATGCACAGACTTTTTTCCCTGCCACTGTTCCCTAAACAATACAGTGTAACAACTATTTATATAACATTTACCTCGAATTAGTGAGGTATTATAAGTAATCTAGAGATGATATGAAGTATATGGCAGGATGTAGATAGATTATAAGTACGACAACTACTATGCCATTTTATGTAAGGGACTTGAGCATTTCAAATTTTGGTATCCACTGGGGTCCCGGAACCGATCCCCATGGATACCGAGGAATGGCTGTGTTCTCCAAATATGATGCTGCATCAGACATAAACAATGTGAGAAAGCATACAAGTCCATAAAGCAGCTTTAACATGCATGAGCCTCTGAATAATTAACCGCCTTATCCTCATCTGTGATTGTAGACGTCATCAAAGGTTTCTGACACTATTTCAAACCCCTTGAACACTCGACCCGGATGTCTACAGACAAGAGCATGGCTAAGCAGAGAGGAAGGCCAGCGGCGCCGGCGCCGGCAGCCCCGGGGCGGCCTGCCTCTGCTGCACTTTACAGGGCCTGCTCATAGCCCAGGTGAAACACGAGGGACCGGAGTCAACAGGGACCAATATACAAGGACAGGAAGGACATGCTGATAATGGCACAAACTGCCTAAAAATTGAACACAAAACCAATACTTGGTGCTAGCCACTAATACACACACCCAAATTCTTACTTTTTTATGCACTCTCCCTGTCGGGAATATTATGGGATGGTGTTTGCCTAACCTAAGGACATGGGGGGTGGGTATGAAATGCAGAAAGAGAGGTGATTTCCTATTTAACAGACGCCATGGGGGCCACTGGGTGTCCACGTTCCAGGGCTGGGACTGAAGGTGGCTTGTTGTGCCACCCAGAGAGATGGCGGGGGCACAGAGGCCTGGCGTGGCCTCCTGGAGATCAGGCACTGATGTCATGCCAGGTAATGAGTGACCTGAGAGGGTCCCTTTAAAAGGGCCTGAATCCCCACGTTACTCTGCCATGCAGACTGTTAGGAAAGGAAGCTGAGGTCAACAATATAAGGTTTAACTGTGATTTAAAAAAAAAAAAAAACACAACTTACTTGGAATAAAAGTTATGACTTTGTGTTTCTTCCTCTTCTTAAGAAAAAAAATTCTTTGAGGTTTTTTTCTTTTTCTTTCTTTTTTTCTTTTTTTTTCTTTTTTTTTTTTTGTTAAAAAGCCTTTGTAATTGTTCTCTGGAATAAAAAGTAAGGCCTTATTCTGTATCTCCATTCCCTGATGCTCCCCTTTTTGGAAACTGAAGCTTAGGAAACTAGTCTGTATTCAAGAGGCCCAAGCAGGAGTCTTCTGTATATCTGGCTGGAAATTCACTGAGAAAAATAGAGCCTTCTGATCTTTTTGAGATGTCCCCTGTGGACGAGCCTGAGCGACCCCTCTGGAAGGGCTTAACACAGGGCGTGTGAAGATCCTTTCATCAGGTGAGGCCAGGATCCGCTCAGCAGAACCTGAGAGCAGCGCCCGGCTGACAGCGCCGGTGGGGAGCAGCCAGCCTAGCTCCGACTACAGGCTGTGATTGCCAAGGCGGCAGCAGAGGCGCCTCTGGAGGGTGGCTGAGGGTTTCCCATGCGGCACCTCCGCCTGCCGTGCTCTCTGCGGCATCCGCAGTTGCCAGGGAACTTTCCTCGGCCTGAAGTCACGTTACCCTCGTTGGCCTTCTAAGAGACTCTGACTTCCCCGGCCAGGCCCAATGTCGCCCGTGCATCCTGCCCTGCCTTCCCCAGCTGAGCCGACCGCTGCTTCCAGCTCGCTTTCTGCACGGCACTCAGCATAGCAGAGGCACTGCATCCACAGGTTCAACCAACCACAGACCAGGGCCGGGCACGGGGCCGCCCCTGCGAGACTCTGAGCTCCTCGGAGTAGGGGATTCTTACCAATATTTAACTCCTCCTGACTTAGCACACAGCATGGCACCGAGTAAACACGTAGAAAATAAATAAATGTCTGATTAGAACGAAGGCCTAAGTCAGCCACTGCTGTAGCTTCCTTACCCCTAAGGGCCCACCAGCAAAGGGGTGGAGAGAAACTGTAGGGCCAGGGGCAGAGAAGTCAAGGGCCAAGTGCTCGCTGTTTCCCACAGTCACCTACACGGCTTATCCTATGTCCTTCCACCCGAACCGTGGGCACAACGCAATGCATGGAAATATGTGATCATGGCATCTGGGCGCTACACCGAAACTTAGTCAGACTGGAGTCCTGGATTGATTTCCCAGGTCTATAGCTCTGGGAAAAGTCAATTCCCCCTCTGAGCTTTCTATCCTTATCTGAACCCTGCAACAACATATGCAGCCATCAAAAAAAGGATCCTTAAATGTATAAAGATGAAGAAGTTAGAATAGCGAGTAAATAAAATATGTGTGCTTATAAATTTTGATCAAAACAATATAAAAATGTATCTGTACCTGAGCAATAATGGCATAGGTAACATGCAAATAAAAACAATTGTATTAGTGAATGGAACTATGGGGAGGTATTCAAAATCTTCCTCATTATTATATTTCCCATTATAAAAAGAAAATTGGGGCAAGGACTTACAGGGTCGTAATGGATAGCAGACATATGAAAGATTTTTGTAAACTCTAAGAAGTATTAACTAACTATTCATTCACTGTTGCCATTATTCCTATCACTACTATTGCATATGAAAGAAAAATTCTTTATAGAAATGGCATTAGGGACACCTACCTTTCTAGATTTACACAGCCTGGACACTCTTAGTCCTCAGACAAGACAGATCAAGCATATAAAAAGCTTTTAAAAAATAATATTACTTATAGCCCCTAGGAATTTTCACTTGGTCCATACAGTTAACCTGTTGTGGCTGTAAATCCCTTCTCCTCTAAGAAGCTTAAAGCATCCCCCTCCTTGGCCTTCCCAGGAGGAAGCTAAGAAGAGAGCAGCCTCTCTTAGCAAACAAAGCTCAGGAGAGAAGGTGAGCTAGAGCTGATGGGGTAAGTACCTGCAAAAACGTTCTTTTGTTACACAGAAAGTGTTCAGCTCTTTCTTCAGAACCACCTAGAAATGTTGCTTAGTCTTGGAAGCTTCATACACACATAGATACACACACACACACCCACACACTCGTGAAAAGTAATTCTGAGACGATGAGGAAGGCCATTAAATGAGATAGCACACTTGCTGTAGTCTTACCCCCGGTCCACACTGGCATGGACAGCAGCAACAACACCTTCCAGCACCTGGAGCGGGTCCCGTGGCCCACCGAGGTCAGCGCTGCCTCCGCTGCGAAGGGAAAAAGAGCAGAGGTGACTGAGAGAAGGGCTGCTCACGCCGCAGACACACGCCTGGCACTCACACTCGGATACGCCGGGGGGCGTGGGCAGGCGCGCGGCTGGCTCATAGCCATTCACGGTCTCTGCAGTCCATCCACAAAGGCACTGCGCCCTGTGCTACAAGCAAGGGTGTGAAAATAAAACGTTTTCTTCCCAGAAGGAACTCATATTCATGTTTTTTTAAATCAAGAGAATAAAAAAATCTACTTGCATTCTGTCATTCAAAAAACATTTAATGAACATTAAATACATGAGCGATTGTAAACATTAAATATGTATTAGGGTGGCCATAAGTCCATTTAGTTTCTTCTGTAAAATAAGAGACATTTTTCATTTTTACCAATAACTTCATTGATTTGGATATTTTGAGTATGTCAGCTAGCTCCCACGTGATATAACATTTGATTGTTCTCAGTTAATGTCTCAATTTGATCACCATCAGCTTCAACTGGTCTACCTGACTGGTCTCGCTGACATCATCCAGCAAGAAATCTGCAGAACAAAACTTCACAAAACACTTCTGGCACATTCAATCAATCACAGCACCTTTTTCATACACTGCACAATTTTTTTTTTTTTTTTTTTTGCATTTCAGTTGTGTTTTTACCTCTCTTGAAATAATAAAGCATATTTTGCCAAAAATGTTGAGTATTTTCTTCCATCAATATTAAAATAGCTACACAAAAATTCACTAACTTGTTAAGTTTTTTTTTTTAAATGCACACTAATAGGACAGCTCTCACAACAAAATCTAACAAAATTTCAAATGAAGTTAAAGACAACTAAGCACTATTACAGCCATCTTATGGAAAATACCAAATGAACTTTTTGGGCAATTCAATAATAATCATCCAAATGCTCCAGCAGGCCTTTTCATCAAAATATTCACATTTTCATGGTAGTTAACAAATATCAGATACTGTTAGGGGTTTTATTTACATTCTGCCAGTTGTAATCCCAGCAGCCCATGGGACAGATACTATTACTACACCTATTGTGTAAGTGTGGGTCTGAAACTCCAGCGTATTTTGGAAATGCAACAGAGGCACAAGAAGTTTTAGATGAGTTTTGTGAATAATTTAAGATACATGACTTAAGTCAACTGCTGAATTCAGTTATTTTTGTGCCTTTATTATTTCATGCCTACTAAATTTTATTAACTTTCTCCAAGGTAAATGTTATTGATATTGTCAATAGGAGTTTCTTTTCCTTTGGAAAAAGAAGTAGTTGAGCTCCTGATGTTCCCTTTCCTTCAGCTGCTAAAAGATTTAATTCACATTTAATGAATGTCTTCAGTGTGCTGAGTATAGTATTTATTAGATCAGAACCAAATCAAATCTTCAGTAGAAATGGGTGCAGCGAAGGAGGGAGAAGTACAATTTATGTCAGAATTCTATAAATGTAAAAATACTGCATGTCATTTCAATTTAATAATTAATGAAAATGTGCAATTTTTAGTAGATACACTAAGTTCATCAAGCATGTTTCAAAATATTTTTGCGAGCTTCACGTAAAATCCTGATTTAAGAAATAATAGGAAAATAATTATGAATCAAAAGGTACAAAATGTGTCAATCAAGTCTCTTTCATCATTTGAAAGAGGAAAGTAGTTCTTATAACCACCACCACCACCACCAAAACCAACAGAACAAAGCTTATTAATTTGGCATTTATTATTCCTAAAAAGTGTCATACTTTATTTCTCTCTCTATGTATATAAAATCACCGGATACCTCAGAGCATTACGGTGAAAACTCTATGAAGCTGGGGTAATTAAACTGATAAAGGCTCATTTGATTGCAGTTCAGCTGCTGAAAACTGACATGCATTTAATCAAAAAGTTCCTCAAGAGCAATACAGAATTACAAAGAATGCTTAAAAGGAGAATGAATTAAACACAACTAAATCTTTCAGCCTAATTGCATTATTCACACAAAGCACTTGATGCCTCATTATTTTCTTAGCTTAACTTCCCCCTCTCTTCTAATCCTTTGGATACATTCCCATAAAGACACGAGCACATCGATATAAAGTTAGGATTTCTCAATTGTGGGGTTTTTAGTTGTTTCTGCTATTCATGGCAGGTGATTAATGTCCTGAGACATTTAGCTGAGTCTAACTTCTTCGGTGCATGTTAACCTTGCCTATGTACTTCCTCAGAACCTCTGGGGACCGTTCTCCCACCACACATGAAGGGAAAGTAGAAAAGCAAGATTTGAAAATCCACCCTAAGGTCACCACCCGCCTGACACTCAGCTGTTTCACATGCCATTTTGGCCTTTCCCTCACGTCAAGAATAATTTGGAGGGAAGAGGTGTCTAACCTGACATTAGCCAGTTTCTTGACATATGACAAACAACACCAATAATGAAATATTTTCATGGTTCTTTATTCTCAAGACATAAGACTTTGGGGAATCTAATAATCTGTCTCTCACTTCTGCACAGTCCCTCTTAGGAAGCGCTTCTACGTGCATTACGTTTCACCGTGAACGAGCACCATGACTGGCAGAACAGCACCTTGGGTTTTGCTTGGTGGCCACTGGACCACTCACCTCAGTGCGGAAACGATTTTCGTCACTGCGCTCTGCACTATGTCCTTGGGCGAGAGGTCCAGGGGGCCCACGGCCACCTCCAGCAGCTGCCGAATCATCTCCAGAGGCTGACCGTCCAAACACATGGCCACGGCTTGATCATGAAGTTTCCCTTTTTCTGACCGGGACAGATCATAGAGGTCACTGTATTTCTTCAGTATTTCCTGAAAAAAGAAAAATAAAACACGGTATTCAACACCTCGCTATCCAATACAAAATAAGTGTCTCCATGTACATAGTGAAACATTTAGGAGGTTCTCCGAGCAAAGACAGGGCAGCCAGCAACCGCACCGAAGAGCGGGAGCTGGCTGGCAAGAGCCCGGGCCCCGCGGCCGCCCGGGCTGGAGGGCAAATCCGTGCTGCGCCGCTCACTGGTACGGGGGCCCTGGTGACCTCACAGCTCAGGATCCATAAACCTAAGGTGAGGACAGTAGGCTTGGGTTTGTGAAAAGAGGGGCGATACGAACACTGAATGAGACCATATAAAAGCCAGTCCTTCAGCACGATGTCGGGCAGGAGGCAATGCTCGCTTAGCGAAGTTTCTCGATTACTATTATCGTGCCACAGCCACTTAACGGGTACGATCTGTTGAGTATCAACCACTAGACTTGGGTAGTGTATGTGTGTTTATCTAAGTTAATGCTGATAATAATCCTTCAAGGGGGTTTAATTAGCTCTGTTTTAACAAAAAGAAAATTGAAGATGGAAGATGTTAATGTGCCCGAGTCACAGAGCCAGCCCTCAGCACAGCTTGCCATTCAGGGGGAGGAGTAGAATCTAAGCAGCTCCTCTCCCCCACTCCCATGTCACCGGCCTGCACCCCTCTGATAATACATGCCAAAACTAATGTGACAACAAATGATTCAAGCAATCGGACACAGACGATGGTGTTCAGCATGCCGAATATGGTCACTTCATGTTCGCAACACTCTCCGGGTTCTTCAGAGTTCACGAGTCATCCTGAACATACCTTTGCATCCTTCAAAACCACCATGTGATACTGACTGGATATTTGATGATACTGAAGAATTACTAGTAGTTTGTTTTGGGGGGTTTGTTTTTTTTCATTTTTGATTGTGGGAATATTGTGGATATGTTTAAACGTATCTTTTAGAAATAGGTATGGTAATATTTATGGATAAAATAAAAGATGACTGGGATTTCCTGTAGGATAATGCACAGGAAGAGGGGGAGGGTAGGCAGGGGTAGGCATGCAATGGGATGGGTCCCCTTTGACAACCGCTGAAGCCGAAGCGGGCCTGTGAAACTGCTTTGCCGGCTCCCTCTTGAAACTTACGGCTGAAAACAGTGTCTGGCCATCAGGCAGGGCACTTACTCACTGGTCTCCCTACTGAGACAAGAGGAACTGAGTCCCCACAGGGTGAAGGGGGTGAAGGTGTTTATCTTAAACGGCACTAACCACTAACCTTCTAAGTTGTTCTTCCACAGGGGGTGTAATTAGAGGTTAAAAATCAAGGCCTAAACTTACAAGGGACAGATGTGTGACCTTGAAAGTTTATTTCTAGGATTTACTATGAAAGGACTTTAATTAAATCAAATAATGTCCAATGTAGGAACCAGGAAGAGTCTCCTATTAGGGACCATCCATGATCTGACTGAACAGCATTCACAGGTCGCCACTTGGAACCTTGAAGTCACAGTCTCGTTGAAACAAACAAGCTATTTTGTTACTAATCTTCGTGGCCCCCACACATCCTTCTACTCATTGAAAGCCAACACATGTTCCAAGGACAGTAATGACAATTCTCCGATTTGAATGTAATATGTTTGATTTAAAAAAACAAGAATTTTAAAATTTAAATTTTTTAATTGAAAAGTCTTATACTAATAAGTATAAATCACTTGAATAGTTCATGTTTACCCTGGTCCTTGTAATTACGGATTATAGCATTGTAAATGGCAGCTGGATAAAGTCAAAATTGGTAAAGCCAATTGGTTCCCTGAGAAGCCTTGTATTTCCCTCTTACCATTATTTAATGCTATTCATTAGACAGGCCAACAGGCACTGAAAGATACAGAATGAGATCAAATTGCTATCAAACTTTTGAATTTTCTATAAGGGGTTTGCACTGATGAATCTCGTATACATTGTGAAGTCTTCCAGTTGTTCACTATCTGAACTCCTCTCCACTGAATGATCCTTCTAGTCAGGAATTTTTTTTTTTTTACAAGGTAAGAATACAATTCAGTAAACATGTAAGATCTTAGAAAAATAAAAGATGAGGTTAGTGGTCACTTCCAGGTTCATTTACCATAGAATTAAATTTTAATTAAAAAAATTTATATATCTAAACACTGTTTTTGAAAACCATTCACTCACTGATTTGTCTACTTTTCAGCCATGGGAAAGATTATCTAAAAACCCCACGGCTGTCCCGCATGATCACGCACGCCGCGAGCTGCCACAGCCACGGGGGCTTCCCACTGCGGCTCTGCCACACTGGTCCCCGCACCTTGCCGCAGGTGGTACGCCTGGGTCGCCTCAGGAGGCTCTTGGAGATGCCACAGGGGTCTCAAAGAGAAACCAATTAGGAATAATTTAATAAAGTTGTACTGAAAACATAGAACACAAAAATGGGATGAGTATACCAATTAAAAAGAATTATTGAAACAGGCAGCGGTAGTTATTTCTGAATTTTTCTGGAAATTCAGGGGAAAAATCTATCTGTATTCAGTCAGCAAGCACAACACCCTCCCACGAGGAGTGGGCTGGCAACCACCCTCTTCACCACAGCTGGGCTCTGGCGACCCTCCCTCTCCTCGGGCACCATCCTGGGTTCCGCTTGGCCCTCTTCTCCCTCCCCTCCCCTCTCCTCAGCTCCTTCCTCCCAGGCTGTCAACTGTGTGAAGTGGCCTAGAATCCTCTTTAAAGAATAAGAAACTGAATTGACTATCAAGTGATAATGAGGAGGTAAAAGGATGAAGGCTTGAAGACCATTTTCAAAGGTATCTGCAATACTGAAAACCCTATCAGAACTACTAACATAGCATTAAAGAGTAAAGGAAAGAAAATGCTGATATTATCTGAGCAGCTGAGCTTACAGCAGAAGCGTTCGTTTCATTACCTGTTCACTGTCTTTCAGGGAAAGAATGAAGCTATGGTTCAGGGTTTCCAGATGAGCGAGCGATTTCTCCAGATGACTCAAGGCATCTGCGTAGGTCACTTTAGACTCAACAGCTTCTTGAATGTCTTCTTCGGAACTCCTTTTCCTTGGCTTCTCAATAAAGTGTTTGACTGTCTTAATGGCCTTGCTAGTCATCTCTTTACGGGCTTCCACAGACAGCTTTAAAAGAAAGGAATGAACCACAGTGAGAGAAACCAGCCCTGCACCATTACATACGGCGTATTTAATGAGGTATTAGTGAGAAAGAGAGAACAGAAGTGCAACTTTAATACATGCAGCTTTAACCGATGAGTAGGATGTTTGTTATGCTAGCTTTTTGTCTGTGAAGCAAACACAGTGAAATGCCATTTGCACTATTAAATTAGTAAACAGAAATTTTTTAAAATGCTAATACCCAAATGGAGGCAGTGTTATGATAAAACTAGTATTCAAGTAGAGTATCGGTTATAGTGCAAAAAATGCTGAGTTATTTCTACAACCGTAATTCCCAGATCTGACCATTTATTATAAGGGAAGAGAAAGGAGAAGAGAGTATAGGCAGGAAGATTTAACTGGAACAAAGCTATAAAAATAAAATTTCAAAAACAATCTAATTGTTTGATATTAAGAGAAGTGATAACTAGCTTACAATAAATTACTAAATAAAATATTACAGAGTCATTAAAATTAGCATACAACAACACAGAAACTTGGAAACTGTTAATCATAAAATGTTAAATTTTAGGAATCAGAAATCAAAAAACTGTCTATATCATGCTTATATTAAAACCTGAACTATATTTGTGCATATGGCTGAAGACAAAATATATACATATATACATGCATATACGTATGTATAAGTATATATACGTATAAAAGTATATACATACACATATATACACACACATACTGTATGCACAGAAAAAATTAGTGACTATTATGTTTAAATGTTGGGATTATGAGCCATTGTGTTCTCAACTTTCTAAATTTTCTTCAATAATTCTGTATTTACTCATTCATGTACCAACTTTTCATTGAATTCTGACGTTTGACCACCACTGCATTAGGTATGCAGGGGCTACATCTTTCTAACAGTAGTAAAAATACTAAGCTCATTTGGCCTCGAGAACACAACAGGAAGTCTCGACTAGACCCCTGCTGCCGGAGGCACCGCCCACCTGCTCCCGGCCATTCCGGGGCCTCAGCGCACCTGTGGTTTGTGCTGCTTTGGATACTGAATGGCTTTACCACAGCCTTAAAAAAGACCTTTGGTTGATTTTTAAAAACAACAACAGATAGTCCTAAAACAGAATCTCACAGTCCCCATAAAAGTTTCTTCACACTGGTCACCATACGTCTCTGATTCTTCTGAAAGCAAGCACAGGCCTCGAGACACGGCACCAGTGACCACGGCAGGGGCAAACCTCTCCCCCACCTCCGTTTCCGTCTGCTCCCCTGGAGTCACCCTAATGAGCCTCTACAGCGCAGACGGCTAACATTCTCTTAATCCCATGTAGATATTGGTAAAGGCGTCTTTGGGAAAGCACTACTTCCAATGACTTGTAACTACGTGTTTGCTTTGCAAATGTAGCTTCAAAACAAGCTCTGCAGCCCCGCTTCTCGGCGGACTGCTACCCTCCACGCTCCTCCACCCCCGCCCAGTGGCATTAAACAAAATCAGACGCTACCACTGACTGGCAAGTACAGTTATGTTACTGACTTTTTCTACACAAATAAACTGCACGTTCCCTCTGTGGCTGAAGAATATAAGACACCAGAACTCGGTTTTAGTTCAACAGACCTCCGTCCCCTACAATGTGCATGGGGAGACTGAGCCCGGGGGACTAAGCGATGGGCTTGGGTTCACCATATGTGTGAGAGGAGTAAAAGCCAGTGTTCAGATCCCTCTGCTATTGCACCGGTGTCCCCTCTCACTGCACATGGCACAGCTCCCACCTGGTCATTCCTGCCTCCTCAGAGGTCCCAACAGTGTGTGACAGAGGGCACGCCGGCTGAACGCTGAACAGAAGAAAGGACAAATGAGGATATATTGGAGGGAACCCCTCCTTTCTATTCACTTACATTTGTCCTCCCAAGAAACAGGGGCTTAGGGAGTTATGTGGGTATACCAGCTGGACCGTTCCTATTCTCCTAGCCTATTATGGAGCATGGGAGAGTTTCGACAACAGACTGGCAAGAAAGGAGGGCAGGGCAGCCCTTGTCATGTGCAGGACTCAGGGTCCTGGGAGAAATGACAGGTCTCGATGCCCTTGGATAGGTCCAGCTGTGATCTTCATTGTCCAGAGTTTGACTTGTCATTGTTAACCATCCCTGGAATGGTTCATAAGAAACCAAATGAGGTACAACATAAAACAATCAGCAAAAAGTCTTACCCATAGTAAATGCTCATTAAATGGAAGCTGGATTGCAGTTTGACCAACTAATATAATACACAGGCCGTCTTCCACCTGTTAAGTTTTTTATCTTCCTAATAAATTTGTCATGTAATTCCCCTTTAGGAAACCTTTCTTCAACTTCCCAAATTCCTTAGCATGGCACTCAAGGACTTACACAAGCTGGTCCCAAGTTAACCCTCTAGCCTCACAGTATAATTGTGACCCACGCCCTAAGCTCCGGACCCACAGGCCTTCCATTATTCATCTGTGTCACTACGTATCTTGTTGTCTCAATGAAATGCTCTTCTCTCTCCTTTGCGAGACAGATTCCTAGTCACGTGTCAACTGAGACATCCTGGACTCACCGGCTTCTGCAGCCCCCACAGCCAGTCCCTGGGCAAGTCCTCTGCTCTAACATCTCAGCACAGAGCCCACCTCCCTCCGGACACGTAGGCTCTGCTCGGCATTGCTGAGCCCAGGCCCACACCGACGTCTGTGCTTTCACAGGAGGCGCTGTTGGGCCTAGAGCTGAGTGACAATTTTCGGAGTTTAAATTTTTTACCTCATCACCAGCGTCATCAGAAAATTTTTCCTTATTTTTAATGATATTTCAAAATAACTAAATTACCTGACACTTATCAAGAACGTAGAGTATAAACAAATACAGCCCTAAGTTAAAATCCCCAAGAGAGCTGGGATCTCCAGGACCCAGACTAATATTGTGATAAAAGATACAAGGGCTTTTACCTCATTGGGCGTTTCAGCTTTTCACCTCTTTACTTTGTAAAACAGGTTTATTGCTGAAAGAGCAGAGGGTAAGTTTAAGAAGTATAAGTTTAACAGTGAATTTACAGCTAGTAGACTTATTTTCTTTGAATTCTTGTATGATGGAACAAGGAGGAAGTAAAAGAGAGTAAAACTGACAAAATGTAGAATGGAAAATACCAATTTTTTCACTAACCCCAGTAACCACAAGGTGCTTTTCTTCTTAGCCGTTTTTTTTTGAAGCCCATGAATGAACATGTCATTTATACACATCATTATAATAATAACCAATTGAGAGATTTTTAAAAACTATTCGCTGACAACAATTTGCAATTGCTATTAAAAAAATGTGGATTTTGAAAGCTAAGTGGCTAAATTGTTCTGTCATTCAATAAATAGGGAGTGAGCATCTATTTCCCAGGCCCTATGGAGAATTGAGATAAAAATAGGAGGCAGGCTCAAAGAACTCACCTTCAGTGTAGAAGATAAAATGGTGGGAAGGGGAAAAAGTTAAGGAGTCACCCATGACAGCTGCCAGTCGTACTGCCTGAGCCTTCAAGGCACACCCAGACTCTACCCAATTCCCATCACCTCCCCACCAGTCGACCCTAAGCCACTGCTGCCTCTCACGCGCTGCCGTGGCTCTAACTGGCCTCCCGACGTGGTCATCACCAAACACAGGCCCCCCGTGGGTAGCCACATTCCAGCCCATGAAATTGGAACCAAGGCGATGTGTCATTTCTGAGTCAATGCGATAAGTAACCCACATATTCTGTTATCCTGTCTCTCTTCCCTCCCAGCCATGGCAGCTGAGGAGGGAGGGGGGCAGGTCCCAGACAGCAGGGCAGCCGCTGGCCTGGACCTAAGTGACTCTGTGGTACAGACCTCTTTGCCGCCTCTCATTGGAATGGGAGAATGAGGGAGTGTGAACCTTGGCTCTGTTAAACCACTGTGATTCTGGGGTTAGCTGGTTACTCCAGCCATTCCCTAGGACCAGAGTGATATTTTTTAGAAGGGAAATCTGATTGTATCGCTCCTCTACTTCCATCTATTTAATGGCTTCCCAATTCACGAAAATAAAACCTCATCTCCAACACCCTATTAGGCCCTACGGGACCTGCTCTTCACCTCGCCTGCCTGCCTAAGCCTACACCCCCTCCCCCACACTGTCCCCCGACTCCCAGCCCACTGGCCTCCCTGCGCCCCTCAGCGCCTTTCCATCGCTGGTCCCTCTGATGGAAATGTTCCCCCAGAAATCCTCACGCCTGGTCCCTGTGCTTCCCTCAGGACTTTCTCCTAACTGGGCATTATTTTTATTTCTTCACAACAGACATATTCAATTTCTATTTGCTTACTGTCTGTCACTGTTACCTTCCCAGAACCCAGAATGGTGGCTCCTACATAACAATGCCCGATTCATTGATTCTATGATGGACAAATGACAGCATTCTGAAAAACAGAAGGGGCAAAGGCAGAGTGGCAGAGGTGGGGCACTTGGGTGCAGGTATAGCCCCAGTGAGCACTTCAGTTTGGACAGGGCAGGGGTGGAAAGGGCCCCATAGGAAATACGTTAGGCTTTGCAGGTCTCTGTCACACATTCTTTTGATTGGTTGGTTGGTCAGTTTTCACAATCCTGTATAAAGACCTAAAAACCAGCCTTAGCTAAGGGCGGTATGAGAACAGGCGGCCAGCTGAACTTGGCCTGTAGGCCGTCGTAGCTTACTGATCCTCTGACCTATAACGTTCAAGAGCTGAGGTCGGAAAGAACTGAGATAAATTGCAAGTGGTCCTGAGTGCCGGACGGGCTGTGCCATCTGAACCCCGGGAACTCAGAGGCCACCTGACACACTGAGGACAATTACATGGAAAAGTCTTACTCGGTTCCCATTTAAAACTACACCATAGGAGAATCTCATGGCAAAGAAATACATAAAACTACAGGGCTCTTGAGAAAAAATAAAATGTCCTTTCTCAAGCCTCCCTTTCCCTGTCCTTCCAGGGTCGGGTCAGAGTTCACCC